CCTACCTACACTAGTAGCTAGAGCTGCCGTGGGAATTACTACACCACAGCAGCAATCTTCTTCCAGCATGGTGCGGACGGTTTCCATCTTGTGTACTTTTAAACTGTCCAAAAGAAGCAGTCTACAGCCATTTACAGATGGATTCCAGTTTTACAAAAACAACAATTAATTAAAAATAAAAATATCAAAAAAGATATTCGTACCCGCCGAATTCACTCATGCATCACAGCTTCGTTGCAAAAAGCCTTCTTCTGTACTGTATGTTCGCAGGCAGAATTTCCGAATTAGGGATTCCAGACATCCTGAGATACCCCCGGGGATGCCCGCATACACGATAAGCGGGGGAAGCTTTACTCCAGTAACCGATGCTGTCAAAAATACGGAGCAGCGAAATCCGTCCGCCTCACTACCTAAAAATAAGAAATATAAGTTTAAGTTAAAAATGTAAAAGTAAAATATGTAAATTATCAAAAGGTACCTTGAAGAACATCCACTGTTTGAGTTCCAACAAAATCAATTGTTGTTTTGCCGTTCATGTCAATGTTGATCGCTGTTTGGTCCATATTAAAGACGGCTTCATACTTGAAGGCGCCTTGGTTGAAAGAAAGCGCTCCCCGCTCTTCAATGGCATACTGAATAGAGTGGCTAAATGTGGCAGCAACAAGCTAAAATGATGAAAATTAAACAATATTTACGATAACAGTATTCAATTTTGTTGAAATTACCTCCATGTCGGATCTTCGCTTGCGTCCTTTATGGGTAATGCGCCTAATAGAAAGTCGGTTACGCTTGAGAAAGCGCCGCAAATACTCGATGTTTGCACGCCGCGATCGACTTCTAAAACGATCTCCTTCGAATCGAGCATGCATCAGCAGCAAACACTCCATCGAAACACAAAGTGAGCGGTTCTTTCTCACGTCTGTTATCCAGGTCAGTAATCTGTACCAAAAAATCCATTAGTAAACAAAATGTTTTTACAAAATAAAACCTTTTCTCGAAGTCACGTAGAGCCTCTGTCGACCACCTGAAGTTGAGTAGTACTTGTTGGGGGAGGCACTGGTAATGTCATCCTTTTGCCGTTTCCAGCGATATACAGTAGTACGACGTACGGCTGCATTGGTTGCAACTGCGGTGACGGAGGCAGCCGCCTCAAGAGCGTCGAGCCCCAGTAGTTTGGTTTTATTTTTGTTTTTTGGCCTTCTTGTCATTTGTCAAATAGGATAGACGGCATTTTGGCGCGCTGTTGGCGCGCAGTGCTTGTTACTTCTTACGGGCATAAAAAGAAGGCGCCCGTCTATGCATTTTATATTGACCATGAACTTTTTACGAGTGTAGCATTGGATCCGTGTTATAACTTTGAAAATGAACTGGTGAAGCTACACGATGGCGAGAAACTGTCGGCCGCTGAAACCGCCGCGCTCAGCTGTTTCGAGGCGCCACGGTCTGACGAACCGAGCGACAGGTCGCAAGAATAAGGGGCGCCAAGATAGCTACGCTCCCCAAATTATCAAGCAGGGCGGGGCCAAGTGGCGTCAGGTCGAGCGAGCGGTGTACAGCCCGTTGGCGGCACCAGTGCCGCCAACATTGAACACTTGTGAGCGTTTTTTTTTCTCTGAGTGTAAGATGATACTTACGCCGCAGCGGAGCTGTATACTCCCCGCGCACTTTGAGATGCCCTTGTTTCTTCGTGCGAATAAGGACATGTGGAACGCAACGAGTCTAGGCTAGGTAAACCCGCTGTCTTGCTAAGATAAAGAGCATAATTCAGATATTGCCAATAATTGCGCCGTAATTATTATTGCCGTCTCTTGTATTGCAGTTTTTATTATGGCGACCACGCACAAGCAATACAGTATCCTATTGTATTTTCCGAGGTCTGCCTCGAAGTGATGGAGCGTCATTCCACCGATATTATACGCAGCGATACCGGTCGTTGCAGTTGCAAACACTCGACCCATTGCATTGCCGCACCCGTGCTTGAGTAAATGCTGCAACAGGAAGGAGTTGCCTGCGCCTGCACTGCCCGTGAAGAACACATTTTTTCCTTGCGCGATGAGTTCCAGCACGCGCTTCTGCTCCACTGTCAAAGTTGTGTTTCTGTGCTCTGATCGCAGTGGTGAAGTGGCATGGTGTGAGATCTTGCGTCGCTGGGAGCCTTGTTCGGAAGGTCCAGGAGACTGTGAGCTGTTGGTCAAGTCGGTAAATGCACTCCGAGATCGCTTGACGCCTGCTCGACGGTCAAGTACAATAGTCGAAGGTGTCGCTACGCTAAATGTAAAGGTACCTTCCCAGACATGTTTATTTTCTTCGTGGGAGCCGACGATCAAGATTTCGAGAAGTTCAAGGCGCTCAGCGCTCCCTTGGGTTATGTTGGCGACGAGAGCGAGCCTGAGGACTGGGGACTGTTACAGTCCTGTCGTGCAGGAACACGTCAGAATTTTGCGTCTGCTTGGTACTCCCACCCACAACACACGCTAAACCCGCAAAGGCTCAGCGAAAGTTCGGGTGAAGCTTCGACCTGAAGGC